AGAACAAAAGTCACCGTAATAAATTTACTAATATACTTTCTGATACTGTATCAATCTTCCTTGCTTAATTTAATCATGATTAATACTCACAGTCATAATCATATAAATGTCATAATTACATACAAATAATCACATACAAATGTTCAAATATGAACATCAAACCAGTCCTTCAAATGATACTCCAACGTAGGGACACTGCATAAATCCTTGAAAGAATCCTCAAAAAAAATCTAAAAACTGTAAATTGTAGCTATGCATTGTTCCCCTAGGAAGACTCCCAGGACTTCACCACTTTTCCAATATGTATATATAGTAATCCACTTCCAATTCCAATTAGCAATCCAAAGGGAATCCACCATGTGTGCACACTTAGCAACAGCTGTACAGCACTTCTGTTTACTAAAGGTCCCAGTGACAAACATTCATTTCACACCCACACACACCCACACCCTGGGTTCTTTATGGTTGGGACATCAAAGCGAGCATATCTTTTCTGCAATCAATGGCCCCAGTCACACGGGGGAAATTGACGCGGTCAAAGTGCGACTTTTTAGAGTCGCACCAAAAGAGACACACGGCGGCGGGATCAGACAGATCCCCTGAGCCGCCGTGCAGTTGCTCCCCAGCACAATCAGATGTTGGGGGGGAAGTCACGGAAGGGAGAGCGAGGCAGCTGGCTGCGCATGTGTGCACATGCGCAGTTCGCCCGGGAGCCTCGAATGCTTCTGAAGACAGGCGTTTTAGGTAGGTGCTACTTTTTCCTAGGTTTTTTTTAAATGCGCGTTTTTGGCCTGAAGTGACGGATCGGGGACCGGTGCGCGTCGCTTCCCAGATGTTGCAGTGTGATCGTGCCCGTTTGCTGTGCCCCCGATCCGTCTCTCTTCCGGGCCAAAACCTCCCGTGTGACCAGGGCCGATATTCATTGTTTTTCATTCAAGGCTGAAATCTCCAATATGTTATCTTAACTAGTGGGCATCTGCTCCCATTCATTGCATTGGATTTTTGTTTTATTTTGCCATCACAGAATAACATGCCTACCCCTTTGTAATCTGCATGATACACTCAGCAAAGAGAGTTCTGTTTACATCTGCTACATTTGTTCAGTCGCAAAAGTTAGCACATGTATTTGGCATGTTGAGTTCGTAGGTCGCTACTTCAGCAAACCACCTCAGGCATTCTGTCATGATTTGACATGATCTTTTTAGCCCATGGCATTTTGAATGTCTGCATTATGTTCACAGCACTCTTGATATCATTTTATTCCTGTTCTTGTTCAATTTTGTTACATGGAACCCTTTTCTTTTGCTTTGCAATATAGCTGGCTTTTATCATTGTATGTATAAACAACATTTCTGGATTGTTCATTGTTTTGGGAAAGCACAAGGAATGCAGCCATAAAAGGGAAGTGAAAGGTCTTTCCATTGGGAATAATACATTTACACAGCACTCTAATAACACACAATTTCCTGTCTCCAAATGCAGGTTTCAAAACCAAGATGCTCCAAAGAGCAATACCGTATGATCTGTCATCACTGTATGTGCAAGTGGGAGACCAAAACAGCTTGTGTCAAAAAGGTTCTTGGGAATTTTATCTGTTTATCATTTTGGCCAGATGTAGTTGAGGCTCCTAGCACTCACAGTGCCTGAATGTTGGCAGTCTGCCAATGTTTTGCTGCTCCTTGATAGCAAATCCATTACAGCAGTCATTGATGGATCTCCCAAGTAATTCCACAGTGATAATTGGAATAGCTTGTTATCCTGTTTATTCTCCTGTCTGAGCAGTGTGGAATCAAAAACTGCTATATGAATAAGCAACAAGCCATATCTCAAGAGAAATATTCCAAATGTACTTAACTCCCCCCACCCAAGATTCTTAAAGAATTATTTTACCTTCTGTAGTCTATCATTATGGTTATGCCAATTAACTTGGGAGAGTAATTTTGTGGGTAAACTGGAAACAACATTAACCACATTATGGGTAGATTTCAAACCACCCCTGACACAAACCCATCTATCTTTATTTTATATTTTGATAGTGTTCAGCATATCAGTAGCACATCATTAGCTTCTCTGGTTTATTCACTGAGTTGGTCAACCCTTCCCATAGCAGCTGTTCAAGTTGACTAATCACCGCTGCACAAATACTTATTTCCACTACATTTCTAATGATCACCATAATTCAGCTTTATTTGAAAGGGTTTAAACCAGAGGTGTCAAACTCATTTGTTACGAGGGCCGGATCTGACATAAATGTCACTTTTTTGGGCCAGGCCATATGTGCCATAAAATGTAACACAAGGTACCAGAGATATAAACTTTATAAAGATGATTTCAGATGCCGAATGCCAATAACAGGAATGATTGGATGAGGTATGATATGCAGACGGGTGGAGATATCAGCATTGGTAATGAGACAGGAAACCTAGGTCTCAGTTTGGTACAGGAGGATTCAGCCCAGGAGGATGCAAGGAATAAATGGAAATAAGTCTGAAGAAGTGAGCAGTGACTCACAAAAGCACATGCCCTACCACAATTTTGTTAAGCTTTAAAGGTGCTACTGGACTGTTTCTACTATTGGAAACCACAACATTTGAAAGCCAGCAGGGAAACATTTTAACCTTCCAGGAATCCAAGGTATTCAGTTGCTGACCTAAGAGTAGCGGTTCTCTGACAAAGGAATTTCAACAGGAGGTTAGAAAGAGAGTGCTGAATTATTGCAACTGATCACAAAGCTCAAGACAATGCAAACTACTAGACTGAATTGAGACTTAGGTTTCTTCTCTCATTACCAATGCCTACTATTGTCATTTGGCATCTGAAATCACTTTACTCTCTAAGATATAAGGGCAGATGGACTCACATTCCAGCTGTATATGAAGAGGTGAGCAGTGATTCATGAAAGCTCATGCCATGCCACAAATTTTGTTAGTCATTAAGGTGCTGGTGTACTCTTACTCCCTTTCACTAATAAGGAATGCAAGCTGTGCTGTTAGGTTTCCCTCCCCCCTGTTAGAAAGGCAAAGGGGGATCTCTCCAAGTGCCATGGGATTCCCTCATCCCTCCCCACCCCTCCCCCCATCTGAAGAAGAAGTGTGCTTGCCCACAAAAGCTTATACCTGGAATAAAATGTTTTTGGTCTTAAACACAGGACTCTCTCTCTCATGCTGGAATAAAACTTTTTGTTCTTAAACACAGGAGACTTTCTCTCATGCCTGAAATAAATTGTTTTTGATCCTAAACACAGGAGACTCTGTCTCTCATACCTGGAATAAAATGTTTTTGGTCTTAAACACAGGACTCTCTCTCTCATGCTGGAATAAAACTTTTTGTTCTTAAACACAGGAGACTTTCTCTCATGCCTGAAATAAATTGTTTTTGATCCTAAACACAGGAGACTCTGTCTCTCATACCTGGAATAAAATGTTGCTGGTCTTCTTAAAAGTCCCATGATACGTCATTTGCCCCCTCTCTCTGGCTTTTTCCCTCCCCTCCTCCCCAGAGGAGGGGGAGGAGCTCTTAGCCAATTGAGGGAAGGCTTTCTTTCTCTCTTCTAAAGTGTGGACTTTATGGCATTATACCCTGATAAAGTCCCTCCCCTTCCCAAACCCCGTTATTCCCAGGGTCCACCCCCAAAATCTCCAGGTATTTCCAGGGCCGATGCGAGGGGTTTTTTGCACACTAGGTGAGGCTACCTTCCCCCCCCCCCCCATATGCATCCACCAGCACCTGGTTTTTTTGCACACTCCAAAGCAGCCATTTGCTCTAGAGGAACTGATCTCAATCACATGGAGGTCAATTGTAATAGTGGGAGATCTCCAGGTGCTACCTGAATGTCAGCCTTGGTTTAAAGGTGACTTTTTTTGCCAGTGAGAAACACTTCCAGTACTGGAGGTTAAGAGGAGACAGCAGGACCCAATGATGACTTATTTATAATATTTATATCCTGCCTTTGGGCCCAAGTTGGCCTCCAAAAATATATATTAAGATATGAAACAGTTAAAAACCAATAACAATAGACACCATAGATATAACCCCACAGTCCAGGGCTATCCACGAGGCAAGAGAATAAGCCTTACCAACAGAACCCGGAGGTGACCTCATCGTGTCAGGCACGTTCCGGGTGTCGTCATCGCGGCGTGCACACTTTGCGCGCACCAGACGACTACCAGAGAGGTCCAGGACTCCCCCCGCTAATTCATAAGTACGACTTGGCAACCCTAGGAGCAACATTCCTGGCCCTGGCCCATTCCCAGCATGTCGAACCCATTCTCTTTGTGCCACAGTAGACTCCGTCTGGGTCACAGGCAGGCTGTGTTTCTTGCCCCCCCCACACCAGTACACATGCATACAAATGGGCAGAGAAAGAGAGAAGAGAGCTCAGAGAAGGCAAGTGGTCACAGAAAGGGAAAAGACACAGAGAGCCGTGGAAGCACACAGGAATTGATCTTTGCTGAGTATGCTCCTTCTCTATTACTGCCAAATCAGCTTGCAGCAAGCTCTTGCTGCTACCATTCTTGCCTAGAAAAGAAGCTTCCTTCTGTGTGTGTGTGGGGGGGGGGGGAAGGCAAGAGAGTGAGTTCCTCCTCCTCCCCCTCTTGGCTGGGCTGAGTGCAAGGGCAATGCCAGCAGCCTGGCTTTGCCTTAATTTCACTGCTAAGTGATGCACACAATTTGCTGTCAGAAATCACTAGCTAGTTTTCAAAACTGTGATTATCCTACGTGGCTACAGTGAAGGATCAAACAACTTGGCCAAAGTAAACCTGTACATAGCTTATTAGTTGATAATAGGGTATCATGTGGAGTTAACTCTCATAATACATGTAATCCTAAACAGAGTCCTAAATTAGCCAATTGAAGTCACTGGGCCTGATAGGGTGTAATTCAGTTTAGAACTGCCCTGTAAATCCTTTTACTCTTCAGGCTTTGTTTTCTCTTCAGTCCATGAGGTAGGGATGCAAAGCAATTTATCAGACAAACGATACAAAAATAACGAAACTGACCTTTTTTACATTTTTGTTTATATCAACCAAGCTGAGCAGGAAAATGTGGTCTTTACTGCCGAGCAGCAGCCGACCCCTCTCCTCATCCAGCAGCAGAGTTCGAAAATCCAGCCCCTCCACTGAACCCAGGAATGGAATGCAGCTGTTGGAAAGCAGCAAGTCTGTGAGAGAAGGAAGAAAATCTTTATAACAAAAATGTAAAAATGTATACACATGGCTCAGTGATGTCTTCTACAAATATATGAACTCTGCATGATATTTGCTGGTAAGGAAAACTTACCAGAGGATTGGGAGAGGCAGTGTGCGGTTAAGCACAGTGCAGTTTTTAGGACGTTCAAACACCACAATCCCCATTTAATCCTATGTTGCAAGGGGGTACTATATGTTTCTTAGAATGAAAGGCAGGAACAGTTTGGGTTTTAATTTAGACAAAAACACAGTAGGGTGACTATGACAAAAGTCTATCCAATAATTATGTGCAGTATATAAACAATGGAGACAAATTTCCCTCCCTGTCTATTACAACTTTGGATCACTCAATAAAATTGATTGGCTGTAGGTTATGGAGTCTCTCTTCACAATGGAGTTCACTACCACGAGATATGGTGACCTTGCTCAGATGTGTTCTAAAAAGACAGACATGTTAAACAACTATTAGGCATGACATCTGCCATCAAGTATCCATTTTGTTGGACTCTTTTCCCCATAGCTCGTCTCTGTGGGTCTCAAGAGGCCCAGAAAACAAGTTTCAGGACATTTACCATCCAAAGGCCAGGAGAGAACGGGCATGATTGAGCATAATTCTGAATAATCTCATAACCCTCACCGGAATTAATGGTCTCAAAGAGAAACAAGCCCATCACTTCATCTCATTGAACTGAGAATATTCTAGAACAAACGACTGGGGCACCCTAGCACTCAAGACTTAGAAACCTACAATAGCATTTTTGGTTCTACATTCTACATTCACACTGACCAAATCTGAATCATAGAATTTTTCAGCATAAATCTTAGTTCAGTGAGGTAAGCAAGCCTGTCTTCACACTTCCTTCCTGCTCAAAGACTGCTTTTCCAATCCTCATTGCAAAATATTCCCCAGACCTGCTAACTTCCTCCTCCTCGCCTTCTGCCAGTCAGTGAGCAAACCTCTTATGTGTGATTTAATGTTAATAAAAAGCAAATCTGCATATTTTCCAATAAAAATGTGTGTAATATTTGTTTATTATGTAAATAATGTAAATGTAATGTAAAATGTGTGTAATATTGGAGCAGCTCAGATGTTACTCACCAGAGGATAAATCTCCAACCATGTTGCAGGGAGCCGCAAAATATGTGTGAAAGAGCCGCATGTGGCTCCCGAGCCACAGTCTGGCCACCCAGGGACTGTAGAGACTATTATGACTGCTTGGAGTAATAATCTCCAAACGAGCCTCTTTATAATATGGGCAACTAAAGAATATATGCTCAATGGAGTCGACCTCCCTTAATGGGCAAGTACATAATCTTTCTAGGTAGGGGATTTTCTTATACCTGCCTTCAAGCACTGCAGAGGGGAGTGCAGAGCTCCTTGCCAGGGTGAATGTCCTTCTAAAACTGTTTATTTCCTTTTTTTGTTATAAGTATTTTTATTGATTTTCAGTACATAACATAAATGATATTTCATATTTCCATTTTACAATACTTTTGGAGCTTTTTGTCCATATATTTCTAACCAGTTATCTAATTTTTGCCATCTTTTCTTAAACACACTATCCATTTTTCCCGCTAAAAATATATTTGTCTTATCCATTTCTTTTATATCTAAGATATTTTTAATTAATTCTACTCTGCTTGGAATTTTATCAGATTTCCAACATTTTGCTATAGCAATTCTAGCACTTGTGAGGATGTATAATATCAAACGTGCATCACTGTGGTTTATATTATCCGGTAGGATATTTAATAGGTATATTTCCGGAGCCAGGTTTAAATCTATATCTACTATTTCTAGGATAAGTTGTTTTATAGTTTTCCAAAATTTTACGACTTTTTCGCATCTCCACCAAATGTTGTAGAAAGAGCCAACATTTCTTTTGCATCTCCAACAGTTCCCTGATACGGTCTTATAGCATTTTAGAGATTTCTCTGGAGTCCAATGCCACCTATGAAACATTTTAAAAATATTTTCTTTGTATGATGTGGCTCTTAGCAATTTCATTGAATCCCACATTTTTGACCATTTCTGTATGCTTATGTTACTTCAGCGTCTTAACCACTTGAGCCACCGCAGCTCCAATATTACACACATTTTACATTACATTTACATTATTTACATAATAAACAAATATTACACACGTTTTAATTGGAAAATACGCAGATTTGCTTTTTGCTGGATAAGATACCTGGTTGCACAAACAAAGTCAGGCCTGATTGCAAATTTTTCTGATAAGAATTCTAAGAGCACTTATCAAGTAGCTAGATTTTGTGCACTGATACTGAGGTTACGAAAACTGTATTTTAAATAGGTTTTAAATTAAAATCTTTTATTTTTGCATATGTTGTATTCTGTATGCTCATTAAAAAAATGGTATATATATGCATGTGGCTGGTCTAGTGACAGTAATAAATTCTACTGCTTCTAAAAGAAAGGTTTGCTGGTCTGTGTTTTTGGAATTCACTAAATGGGACTTCTGAAGAAGGAACAGAAACAGCATTTGCCAGAAGATTCTCCCACAGTCTTCTTGCTCTGCAGCATCTGGTGTCCATGATATTACTTGGACTCCTTGAAAGTTGTATATTTGTCTTTCCAACTTGGTGTTGATTTTTGATTTGTTTTTTTTTTCTAATTTGGTGTTTATGGGTATATGTTTCTGTTATTGTACAATATTTTTGGCAATTACTTTTGATAATCCTTTTGTAACCCTTTTCAATAACTATAGACACGTTGAATTTGTTAATGGTTTGTTCATTTATTCCATACGTTACATCCAATATTGAGTGTCGTTATATTTTGCATACACAATGTTTATAGTCTTCTGCTTTCTGTTGTTTGTACACCGTGGTTCCGTTTGCCTTTACTCACACTGACATATTGTCATGTAAGAACATCCCACTGTTCCTTTTTTAGTTGTTGTTCTTACTGTGCAAGCAGTCATAATAGTCTCTATAGCAGGGGTGGCCAGACTGTGGCTCGGGAGCCACATGCGGCTCTTTCACACATATTTTGCGGCTCCCGGCAGCGTGGCTGGAAAAGGGAAGGGAAGGCATGCCTCCCCTATCGGTCTTCCCTTCCCCAGCCAGCATTCCCCTCCCTAGGTAGGCTTGAGGTGGGAGGGAGCAAGAGAAAGACAGTAACTTCAACTTTAAATGCATTCTCAAAGTTCCCCCTGCCTACAAATATCATTGGATAAATAAATATCATTATCAATATCTGTTTTTAACCCCATTTGTTTTTATTTTTGGCAGTCTCATTTAATGTTAATAAAAAGCAAATCTGCGTATTTTCCAATAAAAACATGTGTAATATTTGTTTATTATGTAAATAATGTAAATGTAATGTAAAATGTGTGTAATATTGGAGCTGCGGTGGCTCAAGTGGTTAAGACGCAGAACTGCAGGCTGTGGAAGGTCAGTAGTTCAGCAGTTCGAGACCCAGGGGTGCCGCATGACGGAGTGAGCTCCCGTCTCTAGTTCCAGCTCCTGCCAACCTAGCAGTTCGAAAGCAAGAAATTGCAAGTAGATAAATAGGTACCACTTCGGTGGGAAGGTAACAGCGTTCTGTGCACCTTGGTGTTTAGTCATGCTGGCCACATGACCATGGAAACATCTTCGGACAGCGCTGGCTCTTCGGCTTTGAAACAGAGATGAGCACTGCAACCCTAGAGTCGGATTCAACTGGCTTTCGAGCAAGGGAACCTTTACCTTTACCTTAATATTTGTTCATGTCTTGCAGCTCTCAAACATCGGACGTTTATTCTATGTGGCTCTTATGTTAAGCAAGTTTGGCCATCTCTGCTCTATAGTGAGTAGCAGTTTGCCTGAATGAAATTATCATTACTAATTCCAGTTGAGTAGCCAGGTCAATCTGTAGCAACAAAATAAATACAGGAGTCCATTGGCATGTTAGAGACTACACAATTTATTCTTATGCTTGAGTTTTCTAAGTCAGTAAGGGGGGCAATGGATTACTATTCTTTTAAATAGAGTCTTCACTCCTGTTCCTTCCTCACTTTAATTCCTCTTTTAACTGAACTGTGGTAAGACAGAGGGCACACACAATGCATTGTATAACGTGGGCAGTGAATACAGAGCACTGGGTAATAACTTTCATTGTTGTGCAGTCTTGGCAGACTGATTATCTGTAATGACTTCCCAAGGGATCTGGTGAGTGGCAAAATTCTTGTTACCGCTTGATATAACTATATAACAGCTACAAGTAGATTTAGACAAATGTCACTCGTTCCATTCCATACTTGCTCTACAATTTTGTTGTGACACATGCCCCATTTCAAATCCTTCCAAAGATATGCTATACATTTCAATGAACTTCATACAGAATCATAGAACCACAGAGTTGAAAAGGGCCATACTGGCCATCTAGTCCAACCTCCTGCTCAGTGCAGCTTCAGCCTAAAGCTTCCCTGACAAGTGTTTGTCCAGCTGCTGCTTGAAGACTGCCAGTGAGGGCAAGCTCACCACCTCCCTAGGCAGCTGATTCCACCACTGAACTATTTCTTACTGTAACCCCCCCCAATATCCAGTTGTTATCTTTCCACCTGCAATTTAAACCCATTATTGCATGCCCTACCCTCTGTTGCCAGCAAGAACAGCTCCCTGCCTCTTCTAAGTGACAGCCTTCCAAATAAAACCATACTAGAAGCCATGCTGGATCAGGCCAATGGCCCATTCAGTCCAACATTCTGTGTCACACAGTGGCCAAAACCTAGGTGCCATTAGGAGCTCCACCAGTGGGGCCAGAACTCCAGAATCCCTCCCACTGTCCCCCCCCCCCAAGGACCAACAATACAGAAAACCATAGTGCTCCATCTATACCTTGTGGCTAATAGCCACTGATGGGTATCTGTTCCATATGCTTATCCAATTCCCTCTTGAAGCTGTCTCTGTTTGTAGCCGCCACCACTTCCTGCAGCTGTGAATTCCATGTGTTAATTACTCTTTGGGT